TGTTTTTACTGGAGTGACCTCTCCAGGGGCGGGTGCGGATAGAAGAAGACTCTCATTCCTGCCGCGTCTTAGACAACTGAGCCGCGAAAGAAACAACGTGCCTTCGGAATGCGTACGCACGGTGAGGTGAATACCCTGTCAAAGTCTATCAAGAAGGCTATTCACACGTTCATTTGTATGCATTCTGGTTTTGTCTTGACGGTGAGCCCTGGAAGGTGCTCATGCGAGATTTTATTACCAAATCCTCCCATTGCACTACTGATGTGCATTTTAAGGTACCACTCCAAAAATTCCTCAAATCTAGGCTTTCACTTTCCGTTAGGTAGATTAAGCATGATATGAAACTGCTGTCTGTGTTGTTTCTGTGGACATTTCTCCCGATCTGGTCCAGCTGAAACTGGTGGATCCGGTTGAGCTTCATTTACTACTGTTTAAAAGAAGTAATCTGCTTCTTTCTCATGGCTATAGCTGAAAATCTTACTCAACATCTTTCTCACTCAATTTTTCCTAGCCAGTGACGTATTAGGTCTCCCCAGTGTCGAAATTTTACCCCATTACTTGTACTTCATTTGCACATGAAGTGCTTGACAAGCTCTTACTTCAAACACAATCCGCTGATTTCAAAGTGCAGGACATGCCCAAGTTTGTTGATACACAGTCTCAGGTTACCCATTATTCTGTTGCTTGGTTCGCACACTGTAAATTTTATCCTCTCTTGATAAGAAAACCAAAGCTGTCCGTGTATGTTTTTAGGACTACATTGAGCCGTTTAGCACCATCAACAAGGAACTATTGTTTTGCATTCTTTACTCTAGAGATATGCAGCATTTCGTGATAGCGGTACCGATTAATTTCTACGGACAGCAGTTCACACATTACCGAGATTGCATCTTCAACGCAATGCCTTCACTCTCTCATTGAGCGCTAGACGTAATATATTTGCTCGGCTCAGCCTCGCGGGCTACACTGCCAAATGATTTGGTGAAAACGTGGATCTTTTCTTCACTAGAACCTCTGAATACCCCTGCGGTCAAACTGTTCGGACTTTATTTTCTCCCTGTCTAAAGGTCATAAATACAACAAAGAAATTCCATTTCGCCTGTTCGCCGAGCTTGGCAATTTGTTTGCAAACGTTTCATCACCAGCCGAGGTGACATCATCAGTGCTTGTGAAGTGGCCACTTCACAAG